TAGCCCGCTGACTGACCTCACTAAAAAGGAAGCGCCAGATCCAGTCCAGTGGATGGAGCTGTGTCAGCAGGCTTTCACCCAGGTAAAGGCTGCTCTGTGTGGCAGACCGCTTTTGCACTCTCCTGATTTTTCTCTCCCCTTCTTGCTCCAGACAGACGCATCGGACAGGGGGCTGGGAGCTGTCCTGGCCCAGGAGATAGAGGGTGAGGAGTGCCGGTGCTGTACATCAGTCCTAAGCTCTCTAAGAGAGAGACGATGTACAGCACCATTGAAAAAGAGTGCCTGGCAATCCAGTGGGCCGTTCTCACCCTCCGCTATTATCTCCTGGGACGTGAGTTCACTCTCTGTTCTGACCACGTGCCCCTGCAGTGGCTCCACCACATGAAAGATACCAATGCGCGGATCACCCATTGGTATCTGGCCCTCCAGCCATTTAAGTTCAAGCACAGGCCGGGGGCGCAGATGGCTGTGGCTGACTTCCTCTCCAGGAATGGGAGGGGGGGCTGCAGGCCAGATGGCTCACTGGCCTGAGTAGGGCGGTGGGGGTATGTGGCCAGGGGGGCGTGGTTTAGCGGAGTCTGCAGCGGGAGAAGGCGGTCGGAGACGAGCGGTAAGTAGGTCAAGTTTAAAATGACATTCACCTGCTTCTCATTTCAGTGATTGGCCTGGAGAGACCGTAAAAGGCCACGGAGAAACCCAGAGTGGGAGAGAAAGAGACAGACTGAGGACTCGTGGGGAAAAGACTGTTGCCTGTGAGGCAGAGAATCGCCAAAGTGCTGTGTTGTGTTTATTTGAAGCGCCTGAGTGCATGCTTGTTTGGAATTGTGAATCAGTTGAATAAATTACCATGAGCCTCAGTCACGCCGACTCCAACTTCTTCCTTCCTTCCCTCGAACTTTGTTACATACTGTATCTTTGATGCTTGATTCTTCCCTGCACTGAAATTCACCAGCAGTGATAACTGTGATGGGCGTAGTAGTCCTTCGGTAATTTTAGGACTGCAAAATTTTTTTTTTACGAGTATTTCACAAAGCGTTTTAGCACTAAAACCAGCTTCTAAATCTGTGAAAAGTTAGGGGTAGTCAAGAGGACTCCTAAGTCACTAAGACCAAATCACAAACCATCCTAAAATGGCTGTTGCAATCTGCCTCTGAACACATAGAAATTTAATTAATTTATGTCCTTTTCATGTACAATAAATTACAGCTGATCTTGCGTCCAGTTTGGTTTTCTTTTACTGTACCAAAGGGCTAGTTGTCTTTAAGTCCCAGATAATATTTAATTAGTTTAATACATTTTTAATAAATAATAAATTATTATTTTTAACTAATTTCATAAAAAAAATCTAATTTTTCAAAATTATTTTTCAATTAATGCAGTATTTCAGATTAAAATAGAGACTAGGAGATAGAGGGTGAGGAGAGCCGGTGCTGTACATCAGTCCTAATCTCTCTAAGAGAGAGACGATGTACAGCACCATTGAAAAAGAGTGCCTGGCAATCCAGTGGGCCGTTCTCACCCTCCGCTATTATCTCCTGGGACGTGAGTTCACTCTCTGTTCTGACCACGTGCCCCTGCAGTGGCTCCACCACATGAAAGATACCAATGCGCGGATCACCCATTGGTATCTGGCCCTCCAGCCATTTAAGTTCAAGCACAGGCCGGGGGCGCAGATGGCTGTGGCTGACTTCCTCTCCAGGAATGGGAGGGGGGGCTGCAGGCCAGATGGCTCACTGGCCTGAGTAGGGCGGTGGGGGTATGTGGCCAGGGGGGCGTGGTTTAGCGGAGTCTGCAGCGGGAGAAGGCGGTCGGAGACGAGCGGTAAGTAGGTCAAGTTTAAAATGACATTCACCTGCTTCTCATTTCAGTGATTGGCCTGGAGAGACCGTAAAAGGCCACGGAGAAACCCAGAGTGGGAGAGAAAGAGACAGACTGAGGACTCGTGGGGAAAAGACTGTTGCCTGTGAGGCAGAGAATCGCCAAAGTGCTGTGTTGTGTTTATTTGAAGCGCCTGAGTGCATGCTTGTTTGGAATTGTGAATCAGTTGAATAAATTACCATGAGCCTCAGTCACGCCGACTCCAACTTCTTCCTTCCTTCCCTCGAACTTTGTTACATACTGTATCTTTGATGCTTGATTCTTCCCTGCACTGAAATTCACCAGCAGTGATAACTGTGATGGGCGTAGTAGTCCTTCGGTAATTTTAGGACTGCAAAATTTTTTTTTTACGAGTATTTCACAAAGCGTTTTAGCACTAAAACCAGCTTCTAAATCTGTGAAAAGTTAGGGGTAGTCAAGAGGACTCCTAAGTCACTAAGACCAAATCACAAACCATCCTAAAATGGCTGTTGCAATCTGCCTCTGAACACATAGAAATTTAATTAATTTATGTCCTTTTCATGTACAATAAATTACAGCTGATCTTGCGTCCAGTTTGGTTTTCTTTTACTGTACCAAAGGGCTAGTTGTCTTTAAGTCCCAGATAATATTTAATTAGTTTAATACATTTTTAATAAATAATAAATTATTATTTTTAACTAATTTCATTAAAAAAATCTAATTTTTCAAAATTATTTTTCAATTAATGCAGTATTTCAGATTAAAATAGAGACTAGGACTTTCAAATAAAATTTTTTGAAGGCAGATTAGCGCCACCTGGTGAGAGCAAGAAAAGAAAAAAATGTAATTTCATGGTGTAACCACTAAATGCCTGTATAGCACTCTATAGAGAGGCTTGTGAATTCCCTAGTTGTTTTTAGACATAATTGCTTACTTATATTAAGTTGTGGACTTGAATGTATAAAGACATTCACAAAGACTACTTTTTGACAAGGTTTATATATTTTTTTTTGTTTGAAATGTTGATCTGAAGTGTCGGTTATTGCATTATTTTTACTACAGTCAAACCTGAACACAGAGAAATCATTTTTTTACACAAAGCATTAAAATTCTATAAAAAATGTAACAAAAATGAACAGGAATGCTTTATCAGAGTTGAATCCTTCTGGGTCTGATCTGATTTGAACCTCTTATTTCAGTCCTCTTACTCATTTTGACTATATGGTTATAGCCATACCAATTCATTTAAGTGTGTATAATTGTGTATGTTTGTGTCTGAGTTTGTGTAAGTGTGTGTGAGTGGATGTGTCTGTTTTGCACTCTTGAGTTTAACCCTTTCCTTGCCGTACACTTTTTTACTGCATTGTGGTTGAATTATTGATTTTATTTTACATATTTGCTGTGTTACAGTCACACCAGTTTATAGGTATTTGTGTGTACAGTATAAATGTGTGTGTGTGTGTGTGCGTGAGTGAGTGGGTGTGTCTGTTTTGCACTCTTGGTGTTTTAGAGTTTCACCCCTTCATTGCTGAGTACTTTTTTTCTGCGTCGTGGCGGATTTGTAGATTGTGCACACAAAAATTCTCTGAATTGTTGTGTTTTTGTCCATTTCCTATGGTCGGTAATTTTTGACCGAAGACCAAGAGTGTGACTATTTTTTTACGACCACTTAGCCTGTTCAAATCATGGCCTCAATTTTTTTCTGTGTTCACATTCCAAGTGCCATAAATGTCACCAAGTTTCATACCATTCCGATGAAGCTGTGATTTTTAAAAATTCAAAATGTAAAATTCTCCGGTCAGAAGTGACCGAAGACCGCAGAAGGGTATTAATTAGTAACACTTAGCCTACATATTGTGAATATGGCAACATTTTTATTTTAAAACTTTTATTTGACTATGGCAATGTGATACCTTGTTCTACAGTGTTTCTATGATTAAATGACTGACAGAGACCCATCAGCCAATCACAGTGGGCATAGTTAATAAGCTTGTTGACATCATCCATAGCAATAAGGTCAACCCCACACTTTCTTTTTGCTTAAGATTTCTAAGCTTAAGAAAAACCTGGCCTTCACATATTCCAAGAGATGGCATAGATTAAATCATTAAGAGCCTGATGAACTGTTAAGGAGTAAGAAATAAACAATATCAATATGGCATGTTGAATTAGAACATTCTGTCAAACTATAGCCTATGAGTCCCTGAATAATATAAAATAGGCTACATTATATATCCTAAGTTGTTAACAGTGTCCTTAGTTCAGCATCATAACTTTCACAAGAATGACTAAAAAGAAACTCATGTAACTAACTGCATGTTTAAATAAAGATTTTGCAAGAAAATGCTTTTTACCGTTTACAATAATCTTAATTATTAAATAGAAAATGAAGATTTTAAAACTTACTATATGGCATTGACGCACACAATATAACTTTATTAGTTTCTGAACAGCGTGAATACTCTCATCTGCACAGCCCATGTACTGCTCACTTCTCGTTCTTGCGCGACTGCACATAACCAAAGAGTATAGAAGCCAATAAAAGTTATTTGACATAACAGACCGCTGCTCATTGCCTATTGCGTGCTCAGGTTGTGTTGAAGCGTGTCAGTCTCTGCACCGGAGTTACGCATATGTGATTGTTTGGTCATCTGTGTGGCCTTTCTTACAGCCGCCCCCAAGTGTGGAGCACATTTGTTCCTGAATAGGTGCTTAGTTCAGTACCTGAGAACAATCAGCCTGGCTACAGGTCTAGTGTAGTTTTTGTCGTTGATCTTATATTGATGATACTGTATATATATATATATATATATATATATATATATATTGTTAGAATTCTGGAATGTTCTAAATATTACTTTAAGGCTTATGCATAAACATGCCCTGTTTCAATTATATCAATACCATGATTTCATATAACTTTCTTTTGACACTGTTAATGGCTCATATACTGTCTATTCAGAATTGCTTTTTGTGGCTTTTATAAACATAACTGATGCATCTTTCTACACAGATGCTGTCAGACACCACAACATCATAGGAACTGATGCCAAAATGCAAACAGTGATAGACATCATAGAGGTTTGTACAGGTATGTCATTGGAACTTGGTCTTCATCTATTCTGTTTCCAAGGGACTGAAGCACTTAACACACAAGTGGCTTCTTAACAAAAAGAAAAGGTTTATTAATATAATGAAGGGAGTATCAAAAAGGCTTCAGGAGGGGAACATGCTCAAAATAAAAACCAAACTAACTTAGATGCCAGTTCTTACCTAGAAAAGAAAATAGAAATGAACAACATAGTCTTACCTCCCTCACTACTCATACACATGAGAAAAGGATAGTGCAAAAGAAAGAGCACCCCTCCCTACAATGCTCCCAGTTTACAACAAGCTTAGGACATACAACTGTTTGTTATCATCATGTTCTAGAGATTTTTTCAGGAGATCCACAACAGTAAACAGCTTCAGATACTCATATAAAAATCAGTCACAAACTAGCATCTGAGTCAGGAGAGGAGAGATCCAGAAGAGTGCCGGTCCTCAGAAGCGTATTTCCCTCTGTGAGTGTGGAATACCTCACAATCCAGATGCTGCTCCAGGAAAAGGAAGGGGGGAAAGTACATGGATAAAGTACATGCTATCCTGTCATGAGAACATATAAATAATAATTACTTTATACAATGTAAGTACAGAAAAATGTATCACATACTTTTGCATCACCACAACTTTTTTTTTTTTAATTTTATTTTTTTATGTGAATGCTGTTTGTGCAAGCATAGCATGCAATATAATAACTGGTGCAGAGCTTATCAGCCTAAATAGTTTTTTTTTCTTTTTGTCTGCCAAATCATTCTCCACCAATGTCATCTTTTCTTATCTGAGACTCACTAGTGCATTATGATGTTTGAACTCTATTTGGAATATATTGTGCAACTTATATGGATGACTGATATGATGCTTTATTTATTTTTTATTTTTTTGTCCTTTATAGACCTTGCCAGATGTGGTCAATTGCCATTTTCTGGAAAATAATAGCATGAGGATTATTTGGTTAATTTACTAAACATTTACTTTTACTAAATATCCTTAAACTCACCTCAATCACATGATCAGAGATTATGTAGTCATCTGTGTTGACCTTATACAGAAAAATAATACTTCAGACTATCTTTTAGGTTAAATGAAAATTGTAACAGTATATTTCAAATTGAATTCCTAATACCAGCCTGCTCTAAATCCTTGCTGTTTCCATCCCTCACCACCAAGAGATTCACTGGCTTGTGAATCATCTCTGCTCTTCGGCTGTCCTTCGCATTCTGAGGAGGACAGTGTTAGTGGACAGTCTTTCATTATAAAAATCTCTAATGGTAATATATGTTCTTGAAAAATTTAACTGATAATAATGACTGTTTCAGTGACAGTCAAAGTACAGATAACAGAAGTTGAAAATACTTACCAGAGGGAGTATCTGCTGTGGTCTGATGATGTTCACTGGATCGCACATCTCTCTGTCTCACTTCTCTCTCTCTGATCTCCAGCTGCTTCTGTACTTCATTCAGATTTCTCTGTCTGTCAGCCAGTTTCTTCACTCTTCTATCCAGTTCTCTCTCTCTGTCATGCAGCTCTTTTTCTTTGGCATGTAATTCTTTCTCTCTGTGTTTTATTACATTTTGAGTGTAATGTTTTAAGCAGAAAACCATCTTTAACTTTTACTTTTACTTTCTTTAATTTAATCACACCTCTTTGATTAAGTTTCTCTTTGTCATTATTTAACTGAATCTCTCTGTATTTTGATTCATCCAACTGTTCGTTTAACTGATTCTCTCTGTATTTTGATTTATCCAACTCTTTGTGTAACTGATTCTCTCTGACTTTAAAATCATCTAACTCTTTGTTTAACTGATTCTCTTTGCATTTTATTTTATCAAACTCTTTGTCTAACTGATTCTCTCTGCCTTTGGAATCATTCAGCTCTTTGTTTAACTGATTCTCTCTGTATTTTGATTCATCCAACTCTTTGTTTAACTGATTCTCTTTGCATTTTATTTAATCCAACTCTTTGTTTGACTCTCTGTATTTTGATTCATCCGAGTCTTTGTTTAACTGATTCTCTCTGACTTTGGAATCATCCAACTCTTTGTTTAACTGATTCTCTCTGACTTTGGAATCATCCAACTCTTTGTTTAACTGATTCTCTCTACATTGTGATTCATCCAAGTCTTTGTTTAAGTGATTCTCTCTGTACTTTGATTCATCCAACTCTTTGTTTAACTGATTCTCTCTGACTTTGGAATCATCCAACTCTTTGTTTAACTGATTCTCTCTGACTTTGGAATCATCCAACTCTTTGTTTAACTGATTCTCTTTGCATTTTATTTCATCCAGCTCTTTGTTGAACTGATTCTCTCTGTGTTTTGATTCATCCAACTCTTTGTTTAACTGATTCTCTCTGTATTTTTGATTCATCCAACTCTTTGTTTAACTGATTCTCTCTGCATTTTATTTAATCTATCTCTTTTTTTTTACTGATTCTCTCTGCCTTTGGAATCATCCAAGTCTTTGTTTAAGTGATTCTCTCTGCATTTTGTTTCATCCAACTCTTTAACTGATTCTCTCTGTATTTTATTTAATCCAACTCTTTGTTTAAAGGGGTCATATGATGTTACTAAAAAGAACATTATTTTGTGTATTTGGTGTAATGAAATGTGTTTATGCGGTTTAAGGTTAAAAAAACATTATTTTCCACATACTGTACATTATTGTTGCTCCTCTATGCCCCGCCTTTCTGAAACGCGTCGATTTTTACAAAGCTCATCGGTCTGAAAAGCGAGGTGTGCTCTGATTGGCCAGCTACCTAGTGCGTTGTGATTGGCCAAATACCTCAAGCATGTGACGGAAATGTTACGCCCCTTACCATACTGTGATGCCCTGTCCAGCCGGAGCAACGAGACAAAAACATTAAAACCTGTTATAACCGAGGCATTTGTTGCATCCAGTGGGGACATAATTACTGATCATAATGACTTATACTGTCTTTTTACGCGTTGCATCGCGCCGCGTAAATATAAAACCATGTCTGCATTTGTGATCAGAGAAATGACAAACAACAAGCTCTACTCTACACCCAAAACTCACGTTTGAATCATCAGTGGCAAAT